TTTAAACTTGTATTCTTATTTTTGAAATAAACTAAACTTATACTCTTGAATATGTAATCTTCCCTTTTTAAAAACCAATTTGCTTCTAGGTTGGGGCAAAGCTTGGCTAAAGCCCAGCCCCCCCTCTCCATCCACCCATGGTCACAGAAGTCTTACGGGCAAATAGCATAGGGGGTCGACATACCCAAGCCCAACTCAAGTCGGAGTTGACCCCATTATCTAGGTAGCTGGAGTTGACCCCATGATCCAGGTAGCCTTCCAAACCTATTTGAGGCTTCTCATGAGAGATGAAGCAACCGTTCATCAGATCATATTAACCTGTGCAATAACCCCTAAGCAGCTATAATGTTTAATATTGCACATGTTTGACTAGGGGTGGGCAAAACCCGATTGAACCTGACAAAACCGCCCAATTGAACCAACCCGACCGATTTGGGTTGGTTTTTTTGTTGCTTTTACACGGGTTTGGTGGGTTGGTTGTATAAGCAAGTTGGATTATGGGTTAACTCATAAAAATCGAATAAACCCGCCCAACCCAACCCAACCCGACTATATTTATGAACTTTTTAAATGTTATGATGTTGCTTGGAAACTCTTAGAATAATATTATAAGAGTTAGATAGAATGCATTTTACAAAAAATAGTATAAGCAAATACACATTCAACACAAAAACATTTTAATTGTCAAAAACATTTATGACTTCATATAATTTAANTACACATTCAACACAAAAATATTTCTTAATTTCATATAATTTAATATCAATCCGTCCATATAACATTTTTGGGCATAAAGTGCCAAAATAATTCAAATTTTTTTGTTCGTTGCAACTATGGAGACCAAATATTATATATGTCATGAGTCAATTATAAATCCGTCAAACTCGACCCACCTATTTTAGTCTTTATTGACAAGTTGTTCTAACCCGACCAACTCGACCGATACTTGATTGGGTTGGGTTGGGTTGGGTTTCAACATTTACACGTGTTGGGTTTAATTAAATTATGATCAGACCGATCATGTTGGGTTGAGTTTGGGTTTAGGCAAAAACCGACTCAATCCAACCCATGCTCACCCCTATGTTTGACAACCATGATTTTAAAACTATTTTTTTTTTACGGGAACAATACATAACTAATAGGTTTAGTTTTACCAATTTCAACTTTAAGAACTTAAGTTTAAAATTTCAAATTTCAGATATTTTTAATTTTATTTTGAAATTAATTAATTAAACATATATTTTATTAATTAAATATATTAAGGTCACAATTCCATATAATTTGGTCACAAATTCTATATAATTGGTCATATATTATTAATTTGTCACAAACAACAAATTTTACATGTCACAAATTACGGTTACAATTTAAAAATTTTGTAGGTCACAATTTGTTTATCGGTCACAAATAAAAATTTCAAACGTCATAAATTATTTTACGGTCACAATTTAAAAATTTTATATGTCACAATTTGTTCATCGGTCATAAATCAGAAACTTGATAGAAAAACATTATAGGATTATCGATTAAAACAATAATCGGATCCTTAGTTTTCAATAATAACCATAGATCTTATTCCATGTTGAAATCCGGAAAAATAACAAGACATAAAAAACATACATTGATCCATGATAATATGATTCTTTAAGGATATAAATACACAAAAATTGTTCTTGGTGTATTTTTGGATTATCTCAAAAGAGTTGTATCGATAAGGTTCTTAAAAGATTCGAAATGCAGATATAGCATTCAAGTGATACCTCTATTGCTAAGGGAGACAAGTTTGGTCTCGATTGATACCCTATGGATAAATCTAAAGAAAAGAAAATACATGAAATTCTCTATACTTTAGCAATTAAGAATTTAATGTANCATGGCAACCGAAATCCCGTCGTCAAAATCACCACCACTACCTCCCGACAGTAAACCATCATCTAAAAAAACCAACATGTAATCGTCACATATTATTTATTGGTCACAGTCTCAAATAATTGATCACAAATTAACCAATTTATTGAATTACGACTCACAACCAACAAACCAAATCAACTACAAAAGCACCCCTGACGCCGCAAAATCTACCACCGCCAGGTCCGCTACTAAATTCACCACCACATCCTCAGAACGGTCCAGACCTCAACAATCCAGCCCACCTCTTCAAACCCTAAACCACGTTACCATTTCTCTCGTCGGTACCTCCATACTCATTCCTCACCAACAGTAATCAACAATCGCCACCAACAACAATACTCCTTCCCCACCACCAACACCATCACGCCGACATGACAAAAACTTTCTTATCCGACATGCGTCTGCGACATCCTAATCGGCCAGTCGAACCAGCCATTACCACTCATAGTCGCACCAACGAAAGTACACGCAGCGAAGGTCACTTGCGTTGCGTCGCAGAGGCTGCACGGCACTCATCGTCAGTGAGCGCTGTTAGAGAGAAAAGGAGATAAAAAGAAGGGAGAAAGATGACCAGTGGCACTCACAGAGATAGATAGAGAAGTAGATAAAAAGAAAATAAGGGAAAATGTATGGTTTGGAGGAGTTAGTGAGGCTACCGGCGGAGAGGGGAGAGTGGAGAAAAGAGAGTGACAGAGGGGGGGGAGAGAAGAGAGAAGTAAGAAGAAAATTGGAATAAAATTGATTAGATTTGGAGATGAAAATTGTATAATTAATATTTAATATAAAATATCTGATTTTGAAAATTGAAACCTTTAATCTGATTTTTGAAATTGGATCTTTACAATTCTGGTTTTGTGTAATTTTCCCTTTTTTACATACTCATTTTCAGTCATACATTTACAAAAGTTTGGTGCCCAATATTTAAATAAAAAAAAAGTTTTAAATAGTATTTTTAGGAGAATGTGTGATTAAAAAATATGAAAAAAATTTATGTTTATGTATGAAATATTTTATTGTGTGAATGTATCGTTAAAAATGACCATGTAGCAGAAAGAGTTTTAAAACAATGAGCACCAAACAAGAGCAAAATATTTTGCACGTAAACCCAAATTTTTTATCTACTTTTTATTTTTTAATCACATTCTCCTAGAAATCGCTATTCAAGCCATTGTTTTTCCCAAATAATGGTTGACTTCACAAGTCGTGAAATCGAATCCAAAAATACAATGCTAGTTATTCCTTCAATACATGACAAACGTCGTCTGACAGTAAATTAATGGCGATCCTCAGACGATATGATACAATCCAAATATGATAACGACTAAAACACTAGTTAAGCTCCTCTTCAAGAAACGCTATAAAAAGAATGTCAGAGATGTGGCATCAGTCACAGTATATGGGATGCACCTTAATCAACATGGTTAATGACCACCCTAATGATCCCGGGAAAAAGAAACATGAGCAAGATCCCGGGATATTGTCTGGCTAAAGAATTAGCTAAAAAATATTTTCTTCTTATCTATCTAAATCCGTCGACAACTATGAACTACAGGGGCCCAAATTTAACTCGAGAAGTGGCATCGACTGATCTTTTTGCCTTGGCAGCAAATGTTTCTGCCACCAGGAGAGGGAAAGCAATAGTTGCATCACAGTGCACCTGGTTTTGTCACAAAAAAAAAAAATACGGAACAAGTTTGAAAACCACACAGCATATTGATGAAATTGGAAAATAAAGAAACAAAAAGTCGAACCTTAACCGTCTTAGCAGAACCTCGAATTTTGCCCCAGGACACAGCTTCATCGGGACGGGCACCAGAATCACTTCCATCGAACTCTTGTGCTGTGTTGATAAATACAGCATAATCTGCACCATTGCGCATCATATTTGCATTGCATATATGATGCTTGGGCAGCCCCCCTCCAAGAATTACCATTCCAGTCTTCCTGAGACCAGCATGGACCGCCTCACCATTCATGGCCCTAATATCTGTTTATAAAGCTCTGTGTGTCCGTTATTATACAGTTTCAAGAATTAGCATGAGATTACAGTGAAGATCTTTTACCTTGCACGATGTCAATGACTAGACCAGGCTCCTTTTTAAAGGAATGGAAGTACAACATATCACCCAGTGAACCATCTGTTAAGCCAGGGCAGAATATGGGAATATCGTTCTGCAAAGAGAAAATACAAGATTGATAAAACAGAGAAACTCAACAACTAAACACTGAGTCTTTCTTCCCAACAAATTTATGGTTGGCCACATGAATCAATTTTTACTATGTTCAGTTCATTGTTTGTGGGAAAATCCGGTTCTCTAAATAAGCGAAACCGTGTGCGTACAACTGTAATTAGCTAGGAGATTTTGCAATAATTCAGTCATTGTAATCCCTGATTCTGGGGAATTAGTTTTGGGTCAATATTCTCAAGATTAGTCAGCTTCCTAGTTTAGAGTTTCCTAATTCAGATCCTCTAAAGTGTATATATATCAGTGTAATTTCATTTTATTTAATACAATTGAATTCAGCCCAATTTGTGTCATGGTATCAGAGCTTTAGGCTCAATTCTGGGAATTGTATTTCTGGTCTTGCGAATTTTGATATCGCTAGACAACTTATTATCAATCCCCAATCAAACACTATCACCCCTCAAGTCCGTAACCTTTTTTTTACCAAAAGATAATGTCTGAAACAATCGAAACTAGCAACACTGTGGCTCCTCGGAGGTCTCTTTGATTGAAGGCTGGAACTCGACTCCAACAGGGGAATTGCAGAACATCCAGGCAGCGTACAGGTTGAATGGTAAGAATTATCTAAAGTGGTCTCAACTGGTTCGCATGTTCTTGAAGGGAAGAGGCCAACTGAGTCACTTACTTGGTACTGGGCCTAAAAAAGGGGATCCTAAATTTGATGCTTCGGATGAACAAGACTCTATGGTAATGTCTTGGTTATGGAACTCTATGCTGCCAGAAATCAGCGATATATGTATGTTTCTTAACACAGCCAAAGAAATATGGGAAGCTGTGAAACAGACTTATTCTAAAGTCCGAGATGCTGCACAAATCTATGAAATCAAGACCAAGATTTCATCTACTAAGCAAGGAAGTCGGTCAATCACAGAGTATTCCAATCTGTTGCAGAGCTTATGGCAAGAGATGGATCATTACCAGTGCATTCAAATGAAGTGCAGCGAAGATGCAGCGCTCCTTACGAGGTTTGTTGAAAAAGACCGAATTTATGATTTTCTTGCGGGACTGAATATTGAATTTGATGCAGTAAGAGTCCAAATACTTGGAAAAGAAGATCTGTCATCGCTAAATGAAACAATTGCGATTGTTCGTGCTGAGGAAGGAAGGAGAGGAGTTATGATTGAAAATAATCAAGTGGACAGTTCAGCCTGGGTCACAAAAGCTGTAAATGAGAGGAATTTGGCTCGGAGCAACCAACTAATGAAGACAACAAGTAGACAGATTTTACAAGGCCAGTCAATAAAGATTCCATATGGTGCACGTACTGCAAAAAGTCCCGTCACACTAGGGAAAAATGCTGGAAACTCCATGAAAAGCCGCAGACAATAAACAAAAATCTTATAGTAAAACGTGGACAGCCAAAAGGACAAGGGAAGGCATATACAGCAAGCAGGCAAGAGTATGGAGAAGGTAATTCTCAAGAATCACCTATTGAGTTCAATAGAGAAGAAATTGAGAAACTGAAGAATCTGCTGGGATCATTGGAGAAACCATCTTCAAACAGGTACTTGCACTTTGGCATTCTCAGGTACATCTTCCTCTCCTCGTGCTTCTAAAGTCTCGGATATATCCACCACAAACTCCTAGGTCATTGACGCAGGAGCTACAGATCACATGACCCATTCTTCACAAAAATTTATCTCATATACGCCTTGTCCTAGTAATAGGAAGATAACAATAGCAGATGGTTCTATGACAACAGTGGCTGATCAGGGAGATGTTTTTATAAGCGAAACCCTCACACTAAGAAATGTCCTCCATGTACCAAAACAGTTTACCAACCTTTTGTCAATCCAAAAGCTCACTAAAGATTCTAATTGCAGTGTGGTGTTTTATCCCTCTCGATGTGTATTTCAGGAACAGGGGACGAGGAGGATGATTGGACATCTAGAGAAAGGGATGGCCTATACTATCTTGAAGAACCCAGTGGTCAAGATAATGTTTTGAATTCCTCACCATTCTCATTTCTTTCAGTCTTCTAAATCCAATAAATACAAGATTTGGCTTCAACACCTCCTTCTTGGTCACCTGTCATTTAGAGTCCTTAAAATTATGTTTCCTTTATTGTTCAAAGGATTAAATGTTGAAAAGTTTCATTGTGATACATGTGAACTTCCAAAGCACAAATGTGCTCCTTTCCCAATAAGCAATAAAAGAACATTTGTTCCATTTACTCTTATTCACAGTGACATTTGGGAACCGTCCACTGTTTCAAACATTTCTGAGGCTCGATGGTTCGTTTCCTTAATTGATGATTGTACTCGTGTGTCTTAGATTTTTCTTATGAAAAATAAATCTAATGTGAAATCTGTCTTTCCCATTTTTTACAACATGGTCAAAACACAATTTGGTATTGAAATAAAAAGATTTCGGTCTGACAATGCTAAGGACTATTTTAATTAGTTCCTCTCACCATATTTCCAGGACAGAGACATAATACATGAATCTTCTTGTGTTAGCACACCCCAACAAAATGGTGTAGCTGAACGAAAGAATGATCACATTTTAGCTATCACGAGAGCATTCTTGTTTCAAAAAAATGTTCCTAAACAATATTGGGGGGAAGCTGTTTTAACTGTTGCTGCCTACTCATATGATAAATAGATTGCCCACAAAGGTTCTCGATTTTCAAAGTCCTATGCAAATTCTAACGAAATTCTTTCCTAGCTTCAATGCTTCAAGTAATCTTGTTCCCAAAATATTGGGTTGTGCTGCTTTTGTCCATGTGTATTCCCAAAACAGGGGAAAACTTGATCCACGAGCTGTCAAATGAGTCTTTCTTGGCTATTATGCCACTCAAAAGGGGTACAAATGCTATCATCCTCCCAGAAGAAAATTCTATGTGTCAGCTGATGTCGCTTTTGCAGAAGAAGATAATTACTTTTGTAATACCCAAACCAGGAAAGTTTAAAAGATTTGATAGGTAGTACTCATACCAACAAGGTGCACCTTCTTTTCCAAAAGTCCATCGTTAAAAACTCCACGGTTAAGTGTGCTTGGCTTAGAGCAATTCTATGATGGATCACCCCCTGAGAAGTTTTCTTGGGAA